CTAGAATCAAATGAAAATGAAAGCACAACTTTTTCCAACCTTTGGGATACAGCTGAGGTGGGTCTAAGCTGAGAGCGCAAAGCTGAGTTTGCATTAAAAGATCAGAGAGATTGAAAATAAATAACCTAATGATGCACCTGGAGGTATTAGAAAAACAAGCAGGAGATGGCAAGAAAGAGTGGATATCCTGGTGTAAGCAGGTAAAGACTAAAAGAATAAGAGATAGGCAGGTGCTGTGACTGGTAGACAGCAGCTCCCCAGTTGAAGCAGTCTCTCCACGAGGGAGTGGGAAGGGCTCATGAGACTCAAAAGGAAACAAACTTCATATGCATGGGAAAGGAGAGATGGCTCAGTGGTTAAGAGCACTGACTGCTCTCTTCCAGGGGTCCTGAGTTCAATTCCCAGTAACCATATGGTGGCTCATGACCATCTGTAATGGGATCCGTTGTCCCCTTCTGGTGTGTCTGAAGCAACAGTGTACTCATATACATAAAATAAATAAAATAAATCTTTAAAGAAATAAAATAAAGCCAGGCAGTGATGGTGCACGCCTTTAATCCCAGCACTTGGGAGGCAGAGGCAGGCGGATTTCTGAGTTCAAGGCCAGCTTGGTCTACAGAGTGAGTTCCAGGACAGGACAGCCAGGGCTATACAGAGAAACCCTGTCTTGAAAAACAAACAAAAAAGAAAAAAAGAAACGAAATAAAATAAAAAAGATTCACGAGAGCTGTGTCCCAAGGCTATAGAAATAGTAAATTTGCTGGGGTGGGTGAGTGGATGGCTCTGATCCACAAAGCTGCCTGGAAGAGACACTCAGAACTGTCAAGTTGTACAGAGAGCTCCATGGTTGCCCCTTACGGCGTTACCTCCCACATCAGGCCCAGCTTGTGGTGATACAGACACTTTTGAGTCCCCACTGCCGTAAGGAACCCCTCAATCATAGTTCTGTAAGTATAATAAATGAGCTTATTATCATGCAAGACATTCAGGAGTTCACCAAGTTGGATTCTGATGTGATCAGAGCTTTGGTCTGCCATGGGTTCCCTGCCTGGGGTGTGGAGACAGATGTAAGCTGCATCTCTTCAGGAGAAGCTCACGCAACAACGGCTCACACCTGTAATCCCAGCACTCAGAGTAAGAGGAGCATGAGCCCAGGGCAGGCAGGTAAAAAGGCAGGGCTGGCAAGATAGCTTAGTGTGTAAAGGCACTTGCCACAAGCCTGACACCACATGGGTTCAAGCTCCAGCAGAATCCACATGGTGGAAGGAGAGAGCCAACTCCTGATAGTTGTCCTCCACCCTCTATATGTTCACACACACACACACACACACACACACACACACACACATGAATAAATAAAATTTTAAAGATTTTTAAAGGAAATATTGATAGACCTCTAGCTAGCCTAACCCAAAGAAAGAGAAAACTCAATAGAATTGAAATATAGAAGGGGATCTTACAACATACTTCAGTAAAATCCAGAGGATTGTTTGGGAATACTTTGAAGCTTACATTTTAAAAACTGGGTAAGCTGGCCCAGTAAGATGGCTCAGGAGGTAAAGGCACTTGCCATGCAGGCCTGACAACCAAGTTCCATCTCCAGAATCCATGTAGAGGTGATAAGAAATAGCTAGATCCATGAAATTGTTCTGACCCTGTATCTCCATTTGAGATGAGAAGGCCCACCCTAAATCTGAGCCAACGGGTTCTGGTGGCAGCCCACATCAAAGGACATGGAAGAAGGAAGCTTTTGGTATTTGCCTGCTTTGTCCTCACTCTTGCTGGCAAGGTCATCTACGCTGTTGATAAGGCATTCCCTTCACTGGTATTAGAACCTACTTCTTTGGGATTCCAACGTAGACTGAAGACCAGCAGCTCTCTAGGAATCTCCTGGGCTCCAGCACCAGACGGGGACTGCTGAGACACCCAGCCTTGTGGACTGAATAACCTCTTGGCCTCTCTGTTAGGAAACATCCATGTCAGACTCCTCAGCCCACGGCCAGTAAAGCACTCTAATAAATCCTAATCATCCCCTTTTAATATACAGCTATATTCATTCTATCAGTTCTGCTTCTTTAGAGAACCTTGACCAAGACAACAAAATAAATTTAAAACATTGTAAGTCTAGGGGCCAGAGACATAAATCATCAGTTAGGAGCACTTACTGTGCTTGTAGTGTGATAGGCTATTTCTCCACCGGTAAAATGAGCCAACTCAAGCCAGAGTAAAATATAATAAAGGCAGGTTTGTTAGAGAGCTGCTCTTGGGTGAGTTCACTGGCCCCAAAGGAGGTGGCCGCCAGAGGAGTGGCCACAGGGAGAGAGGGGGTGGGAGGGGAAGAGAAAGAAAGGAGGACAGAGAGGGAGAGGGGGGAGAGGGTGCAGGGAGAGGGAGAAGGGGGAGGGAGAGAGGGAGAGGGACCAAAATGTTCAGATTCTACAGGGAGGAGTCTTGGGGGAAGGGCAGCCCAATCCCTGGGCTGAAAAAGTTCTCAGTTGGGGACAGTGTATGCCAGGTAGGGACTGAGGGATGCTGGGAGAAACTGGAGGCCCAGTCTGCTTTGATATGTGAAATATGCATCTCAGTCCCTTGTCCCGGGTCCGAAACCAAACACAGTGACCTAGGTTCAGTTCACAGAACCCACGTCAGGAGTCTCCCAACCTTCTGTAACTCTAGTTACAGGGCGTCTAACGCCCTCTTCTGGCCTCCTCAGGCACTAGGCACACACATGGTATGTACTTATGTGCAGTCAAACACTTATACACATAAACTTTAAACAAATATTTTAGAAACATAAAATCTAGAAAAGTGGATAAATTATTTATCAGGGAAATGCCCATTAAAACTGCTCTGAGATTCCATCTTGCTAGAGTCAGAATGGCTGTGAACCAGGCGACCAACAGCAGCAAATGCTGGCAAGGTCACACCGCCAGTCACAATAACACTATTGTTACCACTACAGAGCTTACAGGTTTCTCAAAAAAAAAAAAAATCAAAAAACAAACTAAAACTAGTATCTCACCCACTCCTGAGTATCTTCCCGAGAGTCAGTAAGGCAACATGAGACAGGGCTATATCTACATATGCATGTTTATTGGTATGATATTCAATTGCCCAGAAATGGAACCAGGCTAGATGTCCATCAACAGATGACTTCTTAAAATACACATATAAAATGGAATCGCATTTGGAAAAAAAGGAAAAGTGGTATGATATTTGCAGGAAAGTAAATGTAATTGGATATCATCCTCTAAGGTAGAATAAGTGATACACATATAACATACTTCCTCTCACGAGTGTAGTAGGAAGGGGCTGGGGAGGAAGGACTGAGTGTGCAAGCACATACCTGTAATCCCAGTACCCAGGAGACAGATGCAGGAGGATCAAGGGGTTCAAGGCCGTCCTCAGCTACATAGCAAGCTCAAGGCCAGATAAGTCTACTAAGACCTTGTCTCAAAAACTATCTTCATCGTCGTCATCGTCTTCGTCGTTGTCTTCATCGTCATCTTCGTCATCATCGTCATCATCATCATCGTCGTCGTTGTTGCCGCCATCATCATCGTGATCTCATAGGGGCCGAAGTAGCGTGGCTGTAAGAGCACTCTTTATTTCTTGCACAGGAGCCGAGTTTGATTCTGGACACCCACATGGTGCTCCAAAGCCTTTGTAAGTCCAGTGTCAGAGAATCCAATGCTGCCTCTGGCCTCTGCTGGCACTAGGCATGCACATGGTACACAGATAGATATACATGCAAGCAAAACACATAAAAAGCCACAACTGGTCAAAATGCAGAGATCAACTGACCATGAGGTATCTGACCCCAAGAGATACAATTACACACAGCTCCAATCCTCAAAACTCCGGCCAAAGCCAGAAGACCACCATAGGAGGAGGAGCCATAGCAGGAAGACCAGGATAGCCACTTCTAGATAATCTTTCCTTCAAAAAGAGGACATGGAAGACAGTGGGGTGGATGTGATCAACACACACTGTGTGACATTCTCTAGGAGAAAATAAAAACTTAAAAACCGAGTACAGGGGCTGCAGAGATGGCTCAGTGATTAAGAGCACTGACTGCTCCTCCAGAGGTCCTGAGTTGGATTCCTCAGCAACCACATGGTGGCTCACAACCATCTGTAATGGGGTCTGATGCCCTCTTCTGGCATGCAGGTGTACATGCAGATAGAGCACTAACAAAATAAATCTTTAAAAAAACAAACCCCCCCCCAAAAAATAACCAAACCAAAAAAGCAAAACAACAACAACAACAAACAAAAACAAAAAGACCCGAGTGCCTGCTCCATTTCCTAGAAATTGTGGTTAGAGATGCCAGCGTCACAGCCTGATTAGGAAGAAAGCATACAGATAAGTCAAAGCCAATCAAACACCAATACAGATGTAGCTGTGGGTATTGGGGTATGAGAGGGGTCTTGCTTCCTGTCCATAAGGTATGCAATTTAATCAGGGCTTGGGACCAAGACCTGAGAGGCTACAGTGCAGGCAGAATGAAGCCGACAGCAGAACCCAAGGTCAATGAGAAAAGCAATCGAGAGTTAAGCAGGCTGGGGGAGGGGCAGACAAGAGACAGGAGATCCAAATTTGCTTTGCAGTCTCCATTGTGACTGCAGTTGAAAAGAATGAGTGCTGGGCATGGCACTTGGCGACTCTGCCAGCCCTGAAAGGCAGGCTACCTTTCTACTGTCTGACACATTCAGATAAGGAACAGGAGCCCACAGAGGTTTCGAGATCACAGAGCTGGTAGGCTGCTGAAATAGCACTGCCTGGTGCCTCACCCTGACCTCCTGACCACTCGGATCGATGCACAGTATATTACTCAATCCTTTCCATCGAAGATGTCCACAGCCCCGGCGCAGCTGGCAGATGTGTCACCTCAGGTGTGTGTGTGTACAGCTAGGGACAGAGCATATATGCAAAGCTCTGGCTTCAGTCTTCAGATCAAAATGAGAAGGGAAGGGAAGAAGAATGGACATGAATGGGGGGGTAGGAGGGGGGGACAATGTAGGGAGAGAGGCAGACATAGGAACAAGAGAAGGAAATACAGGCTTAAGTTTCCATGTTTGTGCAAACCAAGGAGACAGGCTTGCCTCTGCCTCTTCCACCGAGCATCGGTGGCTGTAGGGATTTCACAGGGATGGGGTGGGGGGTGGTGTGCTGGCATGGAGCAAAGCAGGTTAGAACTGGTGCGTTTTGTGCTCCTATCCTATCCGCGGCTTTCCTTTTATTGTTCTACATGGTGGAGACCAGCATGTTCTGGGGCTCCTCCGCTCTCACCAGGGTGGTTTTGTGTTCTTGGGGCAGATCATTCTGCATGGTTTATGGTGGTTGGCTCGGCTCTCCGTCTCCAGTGTCTTCAGACCCGTTCCTTATCCAAGTACTGCTGGGTGCTCAGGGACTCCCGCCTCCAGCGTATCATCTTTCTCAGCTGGTCCGTCATGAACTTCTTTTTCAAGTGGTCGAACAAGAAGCTCATCTTCCTCTTGGTCTTGTCAGAGGCTTTCATCTTATGAAAAACAGAGGTGGATTTAGGATAAACAAGCCACTTTGTATCAAGAGACATCTGAGGCTGCTGACCTACCAGTGGCAAGGTGCCTGTTAGACTCAATTTTCATCCCACGAAACAGCTTGGACTACAGGGAACCTCAGTTTCCCTATTTGTAAAGTGTGGGCATCAGGCAGGTGCCCTCTGACGCTCTGCAGCTGAGGAGCCTAATTTCCACCTTAACAATCTGAAGACTGATCTAGTGAATAGGTATTTGGGAGGCCAGGAGTGTGGCTCAGTAATCAAGAACTGGCCTAGCATGTGTGAAGCACTGGGTTCAATTCCCAGCACCATAAAATAAATAATAAATACATGAAAATCATAAAGGAATGAAGAAACAGAGGTCACAGGAACAAGGAGGTCCACCTTGGTTTGGAGTTTGTTTGTTTGTTTGTTTGTTTGTTTGTTTTCTAAGACAGCTTTTCAAGACAGTTGCCCTGGCTGTCCCAGAACTCACTCTGTAGACCAGGCTGGCCTCAAATTCAGAGACTGAGATTCTGTGTCTCCCAAATGCTGAGATTAAAGGTGTGTGCCACCTTGTTTCTATCTGCTTCCATCTTCTTTCTTTCTCCTTTCAAAAATCCTCACTGTGTCCCTATGACTCGAGATGCAGTTTAGATATTATCTGTGACTTCTAGCTCCACATGTCTCCCTGATATGTGTCTATACGTTACCTGTCACAGCCTGTCGTCACAGGGAGTTCTAACTTCATTCCAGAACTCCTGTGCTGTCTCAACAGCACTGTTGGGGCTGGGAGGACACATCCTCAGCTTACATTCAGTGGAGCGGTACAATGACTGGCTCAGTAGGGGATGTGGGAGCCAACTGCAGGTGATCCCCTCACTATAATGTAATCACGGTGTAAGATGATGCTCAACTGCCGCTAAGCCCAGTAGAAAGTGATACACCCCTAAAGGAAAGCCAGACTTCAAAAGGCAGATAGCAAGAGCTACCCAGGAAGCTGGGAAGTGTTGGCCACCCTGTCCTCCCCATCCTGTTATATGAACCCAGGTTCTCCATTTTGCTTAAACTAGTTCAGATTTACATTACAGAACCCGTAACTAAAAGAGTTTCAAATCCTGTTTTACAAATAAAGAAAGTGTATAAAACTGGCCTATCTCTGAGTCCCAACCTATTCTGCCAGACCATACGTAGCATTAGAAGTTTAACCCAGAGAACATACATGAAGCCTGTCTCGGTTTGTGTCTTGTGGGGTCGCTGCTGTTGTTGCTAGCCTTAGTTCACCTCTGGAAATGGGATAAGTTTTCAAAAGAAGAAAAAAAAAGGCTAACCATATAGTGCTGATGTCAATTCAAACTGCAAACCTGAAGTTCTGCATACACAATACTGTGCTTTGAGGAAACAGAAAGGCATGAGCCAAGGGGCATGGTCTTTCCCCCTCTGAGTCTTGTCAGCCATGCAGAGCCAATGTGATACCCTAGGCAGGACACCAACCCCACGTGTCACCTGTCTCCTCTGTAAGGATGGGGCCTGGCTTCAAAGACTTTCATGGGTCCCTGTGAGCTCTGCTTCCACCCCAGGCTACATAGGCAACCAGCAGGGAAGGAAGGAAGGAAGGAAGGAAGGAAGGAAGGAAGGAAGGAAGGAAGGGAGGAAGGGAGGAAGGGAGGAAGGGA